GCTAAAAAAGATTACTTTTAAATAAACCTATCAAGTTTTTAAGTAGATCCAAATAGACTCAAAAGTTGGTTTCTGAAATGAATTTAGAAAGAGGGGATCAAGTATGCGTAAAAGCACGTATGTAAGTATATCCACATGAGAAAAACAATTGTTAGCTTTACTGCACACATTAGCGTTCCTCTCACTTTTCTGAACTTTTCCCCCACTAGCTATTAATGAAAAATATAAATCATGAATGAAAAAATTGTGAAGAAAAATACACAACAAAAATCAATTATTGTATTTGTACAGAAAAGTTTTTTTTTAATTTTTGAAAATTTTGAAACATTGTTTAACCAATTATTTATTTATTGTAAAGTAACAAATTAACCATACAGGAATTAATATTTATTAANTCCTTTACGAACCTCGTTACGTCCCTCGCCTTCGGCTCGGGCCGCAAACCTCTCGGTTCGCAAACAAAGACTTTTCAAACTCGTAGGAAAACTACTGTTTTTCATTTGCGAAGATTGAGATTTCTTTAATCTTACGCAGCTTAAACGTTATTTACAATCGAATATATCTATAAGCTGAAGTAACTTTTATATTCAAATATAAGATTGTAGCTTAAGTCATGGGTTTTTGTGGCCTGGGTGAATTGGTAATGCTTTTTTTTTTATCTAGTACTATACATATACAAGTGATTGACGTTTGGAAACTAAAATAATCTGGCTCATTGAATAGTGATATAAAAATCGTAATGAAGCATCTGTCGAAACGTATGGTTTTTTACATTAGAATAACATATTTCAAATTAGATAAACGGAAAAACAAAAACGCAACTTTAAGTAGTTCACTTGCTCTTCATCCTTATAGTGACATCAATTTTCGGTTTATTATAATTTTGGTTAACTAATTTTGGTAGTTTCATAAGTCGGTAAATTTTATTTCAGTAAAAAATGAACCTCAACGGGTGCGACGTTCTTTGCAAATCTGAGCCCGATATAATTTATTTACGATTTGAAAATTGCTGAAACTACCTCTGCAAGTAAAAAAAATTACATTTCTTTTAAAATTCTTGACTTTCTAGAATTCAAACAATAGTTATAAAATATTGCTCCTTATTTGGTTTTAAAATATATCTACGAAACTTGAGGTATTGTCAGCTATTAACAGTCTGATTGGTAGGTATACATTCAGTTTTTCATCTTATTAGTGTTACTTTTGTTACTTTGTTATGTCAATTACTTATGATCCATGACGTAACCTTTATTTTACATATTTATGATTGATGTATTTATTGCGATACAAATACTTGAATTATTAAAGAAGAATATTCAACTTGTTTAGAGCACGTAAATTTCTACAGATATCAGGCAATAAGGGGCCAATAAGATGAACTCCAGATAGTGATGTGCAAAGCATATAATTCCAAGAAATCATTATGTATAATACTTAAGCCCCAAGTCATTGAAATTTTGATGGTTGTTTGACTATAGTGGAAGTAGGGGTGACTGAAAATGACTCTGTCTCGCTAACAGTTTTTAAAGTCTTCTTTAAGCTTGATATTAACTTTCGGACGAATCTTTCGTTATTTCAGGCATTGATACTTCTCGCTCTTGTTCAAAAATTTCTAATCGCAGGTAAGTATGTGCATTAAGGCATGATAAAAAAATGCATGTTGGTGTAATCACAAAAATTAGTTACTTACGTGGACGGTCAATAGACGTAAACAAACTTGATTTTAACAGCTTCTAATTGCTCATGGACTCAGAAAATAAAAATCTGACTGTTCCAAGATAATACTACTTTTACTACAACTGTTATAATTAATAAAAATCACTCAAATAAACAACCTTAACCAATTAAACTGTATCCTATCGTAGCTAGAAAACTTAATTGTCACCAACGATACAAGAACACTTTGTATTCTCATAATATCTACTTCAGTCTGTAAAATTTTTGAAATAAAATATTATCACTTGTTTTTATTTTTTATGATTGAATAAATGTTTAACTAACATAACATAGAATGCCATGGACGTCAGCCCCAACTCCAACCCAATTTAAAAAAAATAGAAATTTTAGAAAATTTATAAAATAGAGATGTCCGACGAAGAAAATCTGAAAATCATGTGTACTCGTAAAACCTAGTTTTATTTTGATTACCCCAAGATCAATGAATATTGAGGAGTAAGTGTATAAAGTAAATAATTTAAACCAGTGGACAGTGGGTACTGGGGTACCCAACTAAGAAGTTATACTTCTTTAAAATTATATGTCAGATAATATAATTATAAATACAAATATTTCTTTTATGAAATGATATTGTGTACTAAGGTGTACTAAGGAGGTACAATTATATTGATGAAATGGGTATACGTAAGTTAGCTGGGTATGGTTCGAATAAATGTTTTTTAATATTTTATAACCGAACAATTTTATAAGCAATACATTATGACACAATACAATATAAACAGTATGAAGGCTGGGCAGTACAAGACTGCACTTTCATTGAATCTTCCGATGATTTCAAAACAACTTCCTACTGCCTACGCTGATTATATCTCCAACATCATGTACATCTGTCATATACGACGATACACTTATCCCTAGTCAATATTTAATAACCAAAATATAATTGTATCTCAAAAATTAAGAAAAACCATCCTGTAGTAGCGCTTTCTTCAATAGCATAGTTGTACATGCCAGGAACTATCCCTTCAGGACGTTCATCGCACGACATACCGTGTCCAGTGTACATAAGGATTGTGCACATTTTAATTATGCACAAGTTATTGCACACAAAATATTACTCACAAATAGTTGAATAATGATCGCAAAATACTTTATACAAATTTTTCTTATGCACCAAATACTATCGCTTACAATTGTGAACAAAATATTGTGCACTATATTTTAATATTTATTTTAATTTTGCGCACCGTTCTTTTTATGCACATTTATTTATGTACTGATAATTTTTATTCTTAACAGTAATAAATATATCATGCCCAAACATTTCATGTACATTTTTTCATGCACCATATATATTTTCACTGATATTGTAAATAAAAGATTGTGCACTACAATTTATTATTCATTTTATTTTTTTGCAACGCTTTTTTTATGCAGATTCTTGTGCACCGATAGTTTTTATTAAAAAAAAAAATAAATTAATCATGCACGAGTATTTTCATGCACATCTTTTATGCACAATATATTTTTTCATACATTAGTAATTATCATCTAAAGACAACTGTGAACAAAATATTATGCACGCAAACTCTCTATTTCTCATTTACGTACACCATTTTTTTATGCACATTTTTTAAATTAATGATGTGCACGTATTCATGTTAGTGCACATATATAGTGCACATACTGATAGAACTTAATATTTTTGTTGTGCACAAATAAGTGTAAAATAATTGTACATATGGTTTTGGTCTAAAAGGTGTACAATCATCGTGCACATTTATGCAATATATCTGTGCGTGCCTACCCGAATTTGTCCCCACCGTAAGTGCATCATTTTATCACTCACCAAATTCGTCCCCGGGTCATTAAAGTGTTTCTTATCTATTACCGAATTTGTCCCCCCGTAGTTTGCAAAAAATACCGAATTCGTCCCCGTAAATAGCAGCCCGTTGTTAACACAAGGTATTGAATATTGATACTTAACACAGACAGCAGTTAAGTCTTTTCCGCTTGTATTTTCGAACGTATGTTTATTTGTTGTTATAACTACTCTCAAGATATTGTAAGACTTAGTAGAACACTGGTTTTAGTTTCGTGCTAGCCGAGCCGTTGAATGGTCGTCTACAGTTGTAATTGGAAGTTGCGAATATGTAATTTAGTGTAACCGAAAAAGGCAGGACTTAGCTGATTCTTTACTTTTCGTGAATGTAAAGAGAAACAACTACAAGTAAGTGTATTTGTATTTTTATGTTTTTTATTAATATGTATACTCTGTATTGTTTGAACGTTCTTTAAACATACTATTAGGGACAAATAGAGGCGATACAGCTTCTAGACTAATTGGAATGTATATAGATAGGTGGTTATAAGTTAAACTATTAGTGCACATTTACAGTTAACTAATATTATAAAAGATAAATATTTTTTAGATCCGTCAGAATTATAGTTAAATTTGCCTACAGTTTCAGGCAAATGATTAACATATTTCTATTTTATCCAATCTTTCTTTACTACGTGGTTTTGACGAGCTTACTGTAAAGTAACCTATTGGCTTGTCTGCCTTACTATNAGTACTACATAGTAAGGTAAAACAATTGCTAAAAATTATTTTTTATTACAGCACTCAAATACAATACCCTACATAAACTAACTATGTGCCAAAAATTTTGTTTTCTCAAAAGTATATATTTTTTTACCATATGTACAAAGTGCACCTACCACTTTGTGTCCTTATAATCACTTTGGGTCCACGGGCAGACAAGTTTTTTGTGCCCCCGTGAAATTACTTTCGAACATGGTTATTTTTACTACACTGAATAGTAATACAGTGGAATTAAAAATTTTACAATGTCACATCGTAAACTTTACTTTACAATGTGGGAAATTTTAAAATGATTACAATAACATTTATTATATTGTATAGCATAAATTATACTATCACGATTGTTGCTATGTAAGACATAGTATTTTGATTATACTGTAGAATAGTTTTTTTAGGGCAGTTACATAGTAATAAATATTTAAAATATAATAAAAATTATTTTTGACTTTTGTAAACGTAACGATTTACGTAATCAGGTGAGTATGTCTCAGCTTTCCTAAAAAAATAGTAATTTTTAGTATAGTTATAATACTTCTTTTATCACCTTTTTTCTCAGTGTACACGTTAATATCTACATAGCTAAGACATCTGTGTGAGAAAAAAAATTGATGTGCTGTTGTTATCATAAGAAATAAAAATACTTCAAAACAAATCTCAAAAGTATATTAAAAAATTTCATAATTGATTACATGGTGGCCTAAAGATAATTCGAAAGCAGATGTTAGAAGCTGGTCTGGAGAACTTTGAGGAAGGAGTACTTGATCTTATAAGTCCAGAGCTTACAGTGTACGAACAAGCAGATTTTCTGCCATACGACAAAAAGTGGGAGTTTCCCAGAGAAAAATTAAAACTAGGTATAAAATTTAAAAACTGCAACCTAAAAATAGGATAATAATCATGCTTAAATTGGGCTTCCAGGCGAACGATTGGGAAGTGGAGAGTTTGGAGTAGTGTTGAAAGCAGAAGCTACTAAAATCATTGCAGATCAGCACACTACAATTGTAGCTGTAAAAAGAACTCATAAAAATGCAGAATTCGTTTCTATACAAGCTTTAGTAAGAGAACTAAAAATTATGGTACATCTAGGGCAACATTTAAATGTTGTTAATCTTCTAGGTGCCTGTACTAAAAATATTGGCAAACGTGAGGACTCTATGAATAGAAGTAATAAGGTGTATGTTTTGTTAAAAATTATTTGATAATGTTTTAGGTGAGCTGTTAGTTATTGTAGAGTACTGTGAATTCGGGAATCTGCAAAGTTATCTTTGCAGTCACCGAGACCATTTCGTTGATCAAATCGATCAAACTACTGGGAAAATCGATTTATCTGTTGGAAATAATATAAACAGGTACTTGTTCAATAAATTTCTATAATTAAAAATCATTTCCATTGTGAGATCCCGTACTGATCAAAAAATTGTATGTGTTGTTAGTTAAAGCTATTTTATCGCGATTAATAAAACGACACTGTGTGTAATTAATGATCTTATTGTCACCAACTATCAGGAATAAATGAGTAATGGTCATGACATAATAAGTAGGTGATTAAGAAATAAGGTTAAGAAACTAACAATGAATATATATTTTTTTCTATTCTGCTATTGATAGATTACATCATGGTAAAAAAGAAGAATAAGTTACTTGTAAAGAGATGGATTCGGAATGAAGTGAAACACTTGTTCAAGTTTCTTGTTTTTTTATCATATGTATAATAATTGTAACAAATAAACTGTTAGCCTCTTAACTATTTAGCGATGTAAACAGAGAAAAAACTATAGCATTTGAACTTTTCCGTAATTATAGTATGATATCGAGCAACAACGACTCAAATGATGAAGACATTATTTATTACGCTGGAACTAACGATTCTATCGTCTCAACTGGGTTAAACGACAGCCATAACTCAAGTTACTGTAACTTTGAAGGTTTTGACATAAACCAAAATTCGAAGCCTATCTTCACACAGGATCTTATCTCTTGGGCATTTCAAGTCGCCAGAGGCATGGAATACCTATTTAGGAGAAAGGTAAACATGACTTATTTTTTTATCCAAGTAGTTTAAGACAAGAGTTAACGATAAAACTTTTAATATTATTTGAAAAGTGAGCCATTAACGTTTAGAGAAGCTCGCTTCGTAGGAAATAAAATAACAATTGAAGGAGCCTAGAAATTATGATTACTGAACCTGGCAACAAACTTATCTAACCTATAATTTATTACAGTTATTACCTTCAAGCAGGCTTTTGTTAGTTGATTTATACAGTTATTATAACTGCTCTTATTTTAGACTCTATTGATTTAAGACAAATGGAGGTTGTTTTCACACAGTCACTTAGTACATGTGCCGAATTACATTAAATCTAATTAGTTTAAATAAATCAAAAAAATTGACATTGAAAAAAGTTGTCATGATAGCTGAATTTTAAAGTTTTTCCTTAAAGTAATAAGTGTGAATTAAACAATCGATGTCTCAGCTTATACGCTCTGAATTGCTTTAAAAGTTTAAAAGCAAAACAAACAATTGTAAAAGTAATTAGTATTTTCCATTCTAAAAGTAGATCCCAGCCATATCTGATACAAAAACAACTTTATAGAAACGGAAAAACTTGTATTTATATCTTTATTTTATTATTTCGGTTACATGCAAACACATCAAGGTCCTGCACTGCGACTTGGCTGCAAGAAATATTCTCCTAGCAAAAAATAACGTCGTTAAGATTTGTGACTTCGGTTTGTCCAAGTCAATACACAGAGACGGAATTTACAAAAAGCAGAGCAACGAAAAATTACCACTTAAGTGGACCGCCATTGAATCCATTCGAGACCGGGTATATTCTACAAAGTCAGATGTCTGGTCGTTTGGTATTATGCTTTGGGAATTTTTTACACTTGCAGATGATCCATATCCAGATATGACGGCTCTCGAGGCGTATCAACATATCATCGAAGGCTACAGAATGAAGCAGCCTCCATATGCCACCAAAGATATGTGAGTATGAGGAAAACTGATTTTTTTCCAAAATACTTGCATTTTAAGTAATTGTTAATAACCTTTTATTATGGGTCAGTTACAACATTATGCTTTGCTGTTGGGAAGCCGATCCAGTTCTAAGACCATCGTTCACAGATCTAGTCGAGAGTCTTGGAAAGTTTTTAGAAGATGACATCAAAGAATACTTGATCAAATTGAACCATATGTATGAAAATATAAACGGGATAGGTCGCTTGGAGGGACACTATGATTACCTGGCCTTGATGTCGTCACCAGATCGCATAGAATTAATGTCACCTTCCCATGAGTATGTTGATGTTCCATCTCAAGCTATGAACTCAGTCTCTGCAAACATGATCAATGACAACCCTAGGACAATTTAATAAATTTTTTTTTAATAACTTAATTTTAAAGTAAATACGTACAATTTTAGTACTACAATTACTTAAAACCAGTGAAAACTATAGATTAAAGAACTGTCAAGAACTTCAGTTGTTCCAAGTTCCAATAACCTAAAAAATGTTGATATGGTTGTACACTCGAGGCACTTTATATCTGTCGGAACGATTAGTCTACATACGGTCAATGATATCCTGTAACGTATAATATAACAAAGACGTACTGTCACTTAACAGGTAATTTTTCATCGTTCCGACAAATATAAAGTGCCTCGAGTGTACATGACATACAATATNAAATTAATATAATTGAAATGAAAATTTACATAAAAAATAAGTTACGAACTACACCATAACATGCAGTCATCGAATTTCCAACATTGGGACCGTTCGTAGCAAAATGTGTAAGGGCCTCGAGTACTGTGTAGAAAGTTTTTTTTTTTTTTTCAAAGACGTGGTTAAAAAACAAAGAAATAAAATTCATAAAATTCAAAATGTGTGGTGTGGTACTGCAGTAAGGCGTTATGTTGTGTAGAGGAGACCGGAATTACGTGACGGGGGATAAGGCAAAGGGGGAAAAATCAAGCAAAATCCACTTCCATCACACTCTTTTTCTGAAGATCAGAATCTGAAATGGTTGATTTACCCTCACGAATAACGGGTCTATAGAAGTATAACTTCGAAAAGAAAACTTTATGATTTTTTTTTCTCGAAATCTGTGAACGCATTTTTGTTCAAATTCGGTGACTACATCCATGCAGTATTTTCTTACGACGTATATTTTTAAAAACATTTTCATGATTAGGTAAATTGCGCCCTACCTTCCTTAAGGTAGGACCTCCACCTAAATCTGGGGTACAAGACTTATGTAATGAAATAGATGAAGACCCGCTGAATCCAATGGTACCTTCAGTTATGCCCGATGACGGACAAAATCTGGAGATATTAAAGCTCAAAGTTCGAATGTTTTATACAGGCGCATACAAAAAAACGAAAAAAAAGTGACGTAATCACATATTACGAATAAAAAACAAAAATCTGAGTGAAGTGAGTATATGGAACTTGTAGAGAAAATCCTCTTCTTTCGGATCGTGTTGAGCACAATATGGGTTGACGGCCAATTTCTCGAGATATTTAACAAAAACGAACGTAAATACTGGTTTTGTGATTACGAGTGGAAGTCGGAGAAGCCGCCATATTGGTATATGTTAGCGCGCGGTTTTTTAAAAGCGATTAGTAACGAAAATCCTTGTGGTGTCAATTTTTTTTTTGTTTTTTGATGTTCATTCATTATTTCAAAAATACTTTACTGACAAAAATAACGAACAGTAAAATTACTACTAAAAAATAACTACTCTGTCACATTAGCAGACGTACGTGTTTACGCACTGATGCGGGTACACACGTCGTCTGCATTATCAACACTGCTGCCGAACTCAAACTCGAACTCGCGCAGTAATTTGACTAGTACGGTACTCGGAGGTCCTACCTTAAGTCAAATACTTTTAATCGCATTGAAGCATATTGGTAAAAAACAAAAGGCGACTATAGAGGGCCCTATACTTCCAAAAAGGGGGGAAACCATCAATAATTCTTCAAGTTAGACTTTTTTTAACTCATTAGGAGTACAATTTATGTACTTTCCACATGAAAAATCAACAATCCTAAAACCCATGATGAGCCAGATCATTTATTTAGTCAATATTATTTCATTCAACTAAAAATCTATGTTACATTGTAACGTCTTGTGCGTATTTTAATAAATTGAGTTTGCATATTTTAAATTTCTATTTTTTATAGTACCAAGTTTTTTATTTTATGAATTAAAATTAACTTATACAATGATATCTATAACTTTAACAGTAAAACATAAACAATTGACAGGGTGACTCACCCCTGGAGTCCTACCCTCTCAGATGATATGTTGTATATATACGTCAGAATTAACAATTATTTATTCTTTCATATTTGATAAGAAAAATATACGTCGTTCAATGAAACAATCTATTAGTTTAAGAATGGAAGGTAGGGAAAGGAAAAACAACTATAAAATCACTAAAAATTAGTACAGTAAAGATCTTGAAGTTGAAAAAAATAACTGGAAGATTGATTTAATTAGTTTAAACTAATTTTTTTAAACGATATATATTACATATCCGTATACGTTGAATAAAAGTAAAAATTAAATAAACATTTTAACTCTAACATTTCTTCCTAAAATAAATAGAAACTTTTATTTAAATTATGATTTCGATACGTGCATACATTCAAAATAGTTTATCACCTTTCATTCATGAGCAAGGGGACATTAGTTACCACGTGAAACTTAATTCATCTTTCCGACACATGTGGTATCAATGTTTTTTTACCAAATAAACCTGATTTTTACCCTTGTAGCTTATAAAACAGATTTACTTTTTTTAATAGTAATACTGTGTATTTCTTAAATCCCTTAAAACATTTTACTGGTATAAGAAAATTATATTCAGGGTATAATCCTATTATTTTAGAAAATTGACGCATACATGGAACATAGTTTTTGAGAGTTTTTTCTCTTCCTTTAAATTTGAATAATTATAGAAGACTTACCTTCAAATTCATAATCTAATAGATATATAGGTACATATAATTTACTTGCTCATAGTGAGAATCTTCATTTAGATGGTACGACCTCAGTTTGTAGTTTTATGTTCAATCACATCCTGGTCACTATTATTAAAAAAAATTAAACGTTTGTTCTCAAACGTTATTGATTTTTATCTGGTTTTACATATGCATACATATGCGGTCTGAGAATGAGCAAGTGTGCAGGTGTGAGAGATCTGAGAGAGGATAGTATATTAAGCCCTTGTACTGTACAATGACAGCACGAATGCTCAGTAAAACAAACTCTCCTTTACTTCCTATATAAGGTATACAGTGGTGTATTTTACTAATCTAATTATATATTAAAGCAACATCTCGAGTCCTAAGAGTCTTAAGCGGTGGAAATAATCATACCAACAAATATTGTTAAAAAATTAAAAACGTTTTTTCAACAAACAAAAAACTTTACCTGATTATTTGGCTCATTTTAAATAAAAACTTTAATTCAAAATTCAAAGTATATTTGTTAATGTATATTTTAACGCAGAAAATAATTGCAAAGTTTTCAAAAATGCGTTTTTATTATTGTAGTGAAATGCTCCGCCAAAAAGGCAGAGCAGGGGCTCGAACCCGTCAACTAAGGATTTGCGAAACTTTGCGCTATTGTGTCGTCAGTTGTACGCCGGTATGTGACAACACACGGGCGCTGGCTTCACTGGCCGTGACAGTTGGTATTGTACTTCGTATTGTGGGCTTTAGAATCTTCAATTCATTTTTTAGGGCATAAAGCGTCACACAGGAAAGAATTTCATACTTTATTTTACAAAAACCTAATTAATGAAATTATGATATCTCTTTAAAAAAGTTAAAAACTTATTGTTTGATTAAAAGCTTAAAATATCTTGATAATAAAATTAGAAAATCGAATAAATCCATTTATAACATGATGCTATTATAACTAAAAGGATTGTATACAATTCCAGTGTATCAAATCCTCACCTTAGAAATGATAGGGAATCTTGAAATACATTAGTTTATGCGGTTACATTTTAAATATCTCCAAAATAATCAAAATAGACTTGTCAATCTTTTTTAACAATCGAGCTTGAAGAATAAGTAATTTGTCAAGATTATAAATGATTTCTGTGTATTAACATCTAATTTGAAAAACAACCGGGAAATCCAAAAGTATTAAATAATTACGTTTTAATTTAAAATATCTCGATAACAGTACAGTTTAGTCCGATAAGTACAGGTTTTTCTATAATAAATCTAATCTATACTCCGTAACGTATATTGTGGAGATTATGGATAATTTCTGTGTATCAAAACCTAAGCGACAAAATAAAAGGAAATTTTTTAAAATATGAAAACTTACTGCTCAATTACACATATTTTAAAAACGAAACAAATTAGTATGGTATTTATTCTTTGACATAAAAGCTCAGTTTTTTATAAATAGAGAAAAATGTTGAAAAAAATAAATTTCGCACGACAGTTTAACCTATGCTAAAATCAGAGTTGAAAAAATTCTATGTAGGACGTGTCTGAAAATAAACGTAATTTTTATTTGCATTCAAACATTTTCGCTGTTAATAATTTTTTGTAACTGTTATTTTTTTACTTCACTGCGACAAAAACATGGCACTTTTACCTTATTTACATTCATACTAAGTAGGTATAGTTCACATCAATCTGGGGAATAAGGTGTGATACCGTGTGCAACATGAGATGCATAGAAAGACCAATCAATGTGTTACTAAAATTCTTTCACACGTATCGTCCAAATTAACTAATTAAAACCATTTCATATTACTACTATTTGTATTCAACACTATTTTTATGACAAATATTATAATTAGGAAATCGTTTCTTTCTTTTAAATTTTTTTGAAAGAGAAAAAAGTCTCTTTTAATTATTTTGCAAAAAATCCATCAATAACCCAAGAGTTTTTTGTATCCCACATATATATTTTTTCGTAAGAACCTGTCATAATTGATGCAATTGACTTAAAGTAGTAAACGTATAGTATTTACTGTAAATTGTTTAAAATGTTTGGCAATTAAAAAAAAATTTACGATTTCGGCTCAGACAACTTCTTTCCTGTTAATTTAATGTAATGGAAAACAATGAGAAACTTCAATTTTTTTATCAAATGATTCCTAAAAATATATAAACTTTTAATGTAGTTAAAAAAAGATGATTCGCAAACTTTCAAAACCTTTGATGTAATTATTGTTCTGTTGTACAATTTTTAAATATGAACTAAAGTTGTTAGGCATACTTATAGTTTTACAGGATTTTTAAGCATTTTTATCAAAGCATGAAGAAATTACGGAGAATATTCGTAATTTTTCAGTATTTTTAATCACAATTAAAGCTAACTCATTGTTTGTAAA